GTCGCCTAAAAACCTATTCAAAACTGCAGTGACGAGTGCCAACTGGCATGAAACTCTAGCCCTGGAGTCCGCAACTGACTACATTCAACCAATTAACATTTCTAACTTTATCACAAAAATAAAAAGTTATTGCACTACAATTGATCAGATGAATTTAATGAATGTCTGCATGGTATCGATTACTCATCCGATAGGTTTAGTTCATTGACTAAATGATTTACTTATGCATAAATTATAATTTTATCGATATAGACATTCAGTGTGAGACTATCAGTTCTACAGTTTGTTAAACCTCTTAGTTTTCATAAGTGATGTTTTTATAAGAATAGTCAGATAAGAACAAGGCATACTAATTCATTGTTGTCGAATTTGTCGAATCCATAAGTTTGGTGGTTATTTTTTTATTTTTTTTTTTATAACCATTGCGATTTACTTGATTTTTATGTTCATCTTTCTCAAAATGACAGCTACTCTTTGACCTAAAGTATATTTAATAACTTTACATGATATCATTGGCTACAATTTGACCTAATAGTAAAGAATTAATCAATGGAGAATAAGATACCCATAAAATTAATTTTTGTTTAATCGTTTCAAACATCTAATCATGTTATTTTTGTGTCAATATTTTTTTTTTAAATAGGTTTACAGTAAAGAAAGCTTATACTTTCAGCTAATGATTTTGTCTTTAATTTCAAATTATTCGAAGGCATTAATCAATAACCCATTCTCACCTTTAGGCATCACTTGTACATATGCATAAATCTTAGTATTTCGGAAAATGTGTTCGGAAGAGTTCTTAATATAAGCTTAATTGGTTTTGTTTTCCACCACGTATTGAACAAAAGATGAAACAGTTTTATGCGTTTCGTTCGATAATATACATCCTACTTTGATTTATTTATAAATATTGAAGTTTCATGAATGTAGTTTTTTGCTGGTAGTAAAATAATTTGTTTTGAAGCTTGGTAAATATTAATCAAATTTCCACATCTCATTTAAACATGAACTAGTATTTTTAAATTTAATCCTTCTTTTAAAATCAATGTTCCAATTTTTTTCTATTCATAACTCAGAATTAAGCTTTAATTTTTCAATAGTTTGCATCACCGACTGATTTTACCTAGACAATCATTAAAATCGAGGCAGTATCAGATTGTTGTTTCATCCGAGTAAAAGGTGCTTTAGTAGTAAAACGTATTCATTTAACTATGATGTAGACTATGAAAAGTCAACAATCTCCATAAACTGTTTATACTGGTTTTCTTTCAATAAAATACATATGCTAGTTTCTTGTTTTTTATTATTCGCTTCTACAAAAATCATCTCTCATAAATGTATTTCCTTATTTTTTGTTTGTAATCTTAACCAGATGTTGCAGTTTATGGTTAAACCCTAATAAATACCATTTAGCAATAAAGATGCATAGTAAATGAAGTAACCAAATCATCATCAGTATCACGCCTACAGTGTTTATGGTACTTAATAATATTTATTAATACACTAATTAACTTGGGGACAAAAAATTCTAAACTTATGACTGTTTTGTTCTGAATAATAATATTATTGTGTTTACTATTCACAACTACGTGGTTCATAAGTAGTATGCAGTGGAGTATTGTCCTGAAGTTACTGCTGAAACGATGAGTGTTGGATCCGGATGAATGATGTGACCAGAGTATTTTGATGACTATAAAATATATGGTAGAAGACAGCCGATAATTCGCTTGTTTTGTAAATAGGAGTTTGAAGATAAGGTGCACATATTTTGCTTGTGTTTCTCCCACAATTAAGTCGTATATCCTATTGGATCTTACTGTCTTCATTCATTGCGCTATCCCCACAATCACTTTGATAAATAAGCGTGTGTTTAAATGGTACTTTCTTTTTCCAGTGATCTGATATGCTTGAAACTATTACGAGTTCATCTATTCGGTAAAGTAACGAAGCTCAACGATGCAGTGACATGATAGGTTATTCTAATCCTTTTGTCCCCGGCCCCGCTATCTAAATCACGAAGTCTTGATAAGTAGTAGAGAATGTATACTACAAGCACTCATAAAATCCGGGGTTGCTAAGCACAAAAATCAAGTTTATTTACACAGTGATAGCAACGCCCTTGGGAGAGCCACAAAATAGCGTACTAAAATAATCCATCAATCAATGACAGTCAAGGATTTTCTGATTGGGAAATGCAATCTGAAGGTCAACTAGGCGACTTATGCGTCAAAACATAATAAAATCGAAATTTCAGAAATAAATTACAGCTTAGGACCTTTCTCAAGTGAGTTCTGAGGATCTAACGTCTGCAACACGATCGAATTCGCATTTTTAAAATCATAGAAATAATGAAGGACATGGAAAATGATTATGACAAACTTACAGTTGACATACTAAACATCAATGTAATTGACTATGGTGAAAATTTAATGTAGCTAACTAACAGGTTTATTTACTCAACCATGTTGGCTGTCTGAGGATTAGCAGTACTACTATTGAACTGATCAAATCAAAATAGATCTAGTTAAAATTCAAACATAAAACCTAATGATTGAAAGTCATGTGCTTTAACCAATAATCTACATCTACACTGTATAAAAAATGTATTCTGTAGTAACTAACAGAAATTATAAAAAAAAAACTATGTTTATTGAACATGTTATTCAAGTTAACAACCAGTTAAGTTTTAATAAATTTTTCGATTCACCTAATTACTATACAATTTTCCTATGACTTGATATATATATATATATATACATCCATTATTCCATGTATTCACTGTTCAGCTAACTTGTTCAACTACTTGAATTCCAATCAAAGAATAGTTCAGCATAAGATGATAAGATTTAAAGTAAAATGCTTCAATATTTTACTCTGTCTACAATATCATCTATTTTCTACTGATACTAAACCAATTTGTATTTTAACTACTGTATTAGTTGACTTCCGTTCATAGAAGAACTCTTGTGCTCTTGTGATAAAGAATTTCGGTAATTGTGAATTATTTATTAACTATTTTTATTATTTTCCAATTGAATTTTTTCTCTCTCCTAACCCAATTAATGAATTTCGTTATAGTCTTTCTCATTGAACTAATTCACAGTCTCTCTTTCTTTCTCTCTGCCTCAAAAATAAATGAGACAAATGAAGACGTAAAAATTTCGACAAACTTTTTTTTTTAAATGAAAAACTTTTCAATTATTGATGTATACATAATACATGCATACAAAAATAGAAAACAAGAACGCCTGTTATCAATAAAATTAGTCGAATTTTTGATTACTGAACAAATAATAATTACGGTTTATTTTTTATTATTATTGATAAGTGTTTGCATAGAATGATAAGCTTATTACAATGAATTGAATTTATTTTTTCTCCTATGAATAAAAGAAAAAATAACAACAACAAAAACAATAAAATCAATAATCAACAAAACAGCCATATCGGTTATATGCTTATTCACTTTTGTTCATCAACATTGTTTATGCATAACTCGCAAACAAGTGAATCATTTATTTACATGGTTGAATTATTTATTTATTATTTTGACCAGTGAAATTTTATCGTGTTAAGTGCGAATACAATGAAATTAGTTTTTAAGTTTTTAATTTTCATCCCGATTAAAATGTTGCGTTGTTCCTTTTAATGACCTTGAGCATAATGCACCCCTGCAACTTCCAACGCAGAAAGAACAATTTGGATCTCACTTCAATTATTTAAATCAATATTCATTATTTGATTTGATTAAGTCGATTAGAAACGAACGCCTGTGGAAAACATGTTGAAGAAGTGAAGGAAACACAGAGCTTTTAACGAAATAAAGTATTATTTAATTTAAGAGCATAATTTAAAATGGTTTAATACACGCAAAAAGTAAACAACGATAATGAAAAAGAATATTGTTTAGGTCAAATTTAATGTCAATAAAAGTTATCAGTTTATGCATATATATATATATATATATATATATATATATATATATATATTGAATAAATGAATAGAAACTAAGTATTTAACTAACTGACACGCTATCTATGAACCAAAATTTATTTGTAGTAGAATTAAAAATGATGAAATTAATGAAAAAAAAGAAGAGGAGAATCAATCGAAATCATGTGGCAGAATTGATTATTGATCATGTCAGTTAGTATGCTTGTTGTTTTAAACAAACAAGGATAAGTTGAAAATTCTTGAGTTTACTCAGCTTTAATTTATTGTTTTCGTAATTTGAACAATGTTTAAATGATTAGTTTTTCATGAAAATGAAAAGATTAAATCAAAAAACAAACTGTACTGAAGTAAAGTTAATTATGGTTTGTCAGTTTCATGGTTCAATTCAACACAACTAGAACACAATGTTTAAGCATTATTACCTTGAATTCAAATGTAATTTGTTTAGCAAATTAAAATATAACCGATGAGATTGTTTTCGTTATAAATTTAATTAAAGAAAACAGCCAACTGTATTATTTACTAGTCATTCCATTTTATCCACACACTTTCTATTATGATAAAATTACTGTCCACGTGATACAGTTTTTATTTTGTCTATACGTTGATCATATTGCAACTAAGTAATTGTTTATGATGAGACAAATATTTGAGGAGTTGGAACTATAGGGACACATTAACCAAAGTTGTGCATTTTATTATTCATTTATGGTTGTTGACTAGTTATGTACTGTTGTTTCTCTCTCCTACCACTTATGATATGGTTGTGCGGTTAAATTCTGATTTCTTATTTGATGTTGTGTAAAGTATTTCAAATTCCCCTAACAAGAGCTTACGTGGCATTGTCTGGAGATGAAAGGTGCTGTTCAGATGTATAAGTTGATCAGATCTAAGACACTAGAATATTGAAGAAACAGTAGCCACTGTTATAATTAGAATTTCGATTGATCACTTTAACACGTCATATTGATCAACGTCATCAAAGTTATGCCGTGAACTGTTTAATATATTTTCTGTTTTTTCATATTATATTATTCATAATTTAGCCGGAAAATCTACTCTACTTTAGTCCAGCTGATGATAGTAAAATAATGGTAAGTGATTTTGGCTTGTCGAAAATAGAAAACAATGAATCTATCATGGCTACAGCCTGTGGTACACCGGGTTATGTTGGTGAGTTGGTAATAATTTTTTTTTATTTATTTATTATGATTATTTCAAATATAAAGTTGATTTATTAACTTCATATTTTCTTGATTTCATTTAAATCAATTTGATGGTAATATTTAGTTTTCAATCCATTTATCTGCATGTTTATAATGTGATTGTTGAATGAGACTGATTATAGTGAGGTGGAGTATCCTCTTGACTGACTATTCATTTGCTGCTTTTTACTTGCTTTAACTCACTAAACAACAATGTTGCTCATTTTATTTGAACAAGTTTGTTGAGGATTTAATTTGGCAAATTCAACTTATAAATAAACTCTAGTGTGTAGTAGTAGTAGTAGTAGTAGTAGATAATTTTGAAATTCGGTTGACTGGAAAAGTAATAGTCCGTTGTCTGAAATAACTCGTGACTTGATATTGAGCAGTAATAATATTGATTGGCGAACTATTTACTACGCCAATAATTGTTTTCAGGGTATGTGTATACGTTTTTATTCACTAAGCTTATTGTATTCTGTTTTATATTTAAACTTTTAAACTTTTAGTATTACAATGTACTGTATGTTAACTCAGCTGATTCGAACTAATAATACTTTTTGTATGAAATAAAAGTATCTAATGTTGATAGCTTCATTAGACAATTATTAAAAAAGAAACGCGGATAATACAAAACGGATTGTTTTTATAAGGAATATCTTTGAAACTTGATTGAATCATCACTTTTCTTAGCACAAGCGAAATTGACTCGTAAAGTTCACTTCAAACTGTCGTTTCGGATAAAAAAAAACGATTAGTTAGTTGATAAAATGCTTACATTTTTTAAAATCATTTTTAATAATTAAATTGTGAATTTCGTTATTTATGCATTGGAAGATAATTCTTTATTTTTCTGTATTCAAAAAAAATATTTTTAATTAAATATAGACCAATTTCATTAATTCGACTACTTTTAACCGCAATTGAAGAGTAAGCTTCTGTGTTCTAGATCTCAGATTCAAGTGTTTTATTGTAGTTCTTGATGTTCTTGATGTATTTATTATAAGATTGTGCATTACTTTACTTTTTTTCGGGTTGATAATACGAAGTATTTTGTTTAATTTCCATATGCCCCCTAAACCAATTGGTTGATTTCAATATTTTTTCCATATTGGTAACATCTAAAACTAAGTCGCTTTTTAATCTTTTTATAGCTGATGTTTTACCGTTTTGTTCTTCTGATTATTTACTGTATTCCCTTGACAAGATGCCCAAATTTTTAAACAATTAAAATTTATAAAGAATTTAGTGATTCACATGGATCTTTTACGGTTCGAGTCAATAAATAGTGTTGTTAGATTGTGACGACAATTCAAACTACACTAAGAGCATCAAGTCCCTGAAAAACTGATGAGTCCCAACTAATATGAGATGTAGTTTCAGGGTTTTCTCCGGATTGCTTTCAACTGCATAGTATTCAGTAAATAAAGTGATCTTTCGTTAGAAATAATCTAAAACCTCGTTAGACTCCATTCACTTTATACTTCGCTGCTCTACATTGAGCGATATGAAAACTAATGTAATCAAACCGTAGTACTATAAATTTAACAACTTGTTATTAATCTATGAAGTAAAATAAACAGATTCAAGAGATACAAAGGTAACCAAACATTTACTTAAACCTACTGGAGTGAGGATCAAACATTCATAATCGAATATTAAATCTATGCGAAAAATCTTACAATGGGCAACCTGATAAGAAGCTATAATTATCGACAGAGTTTTGCAGTTATCACAGTTTATGAACATCATTGAAATTAATTGATTAGCACTGAATGCTATAATATTGCTTCTTATCACCTATTTCCAGTCAGCTTTCCTAAAATGTCAAGTACTGTTATGTTGAGCAAATTGTAGTCCAGTATTCCTACCCAGTTAATAGAATTGGACCGACACACACCATTGATTATTACTTGGTATGAAATGTATTATATGAACTTACAGTGACTCTATATGTAGAGATGATTTTTATGATTATTGAGTCTCAGTAAATCTATCTCAGTAAATGTATCGTTTACAATGATTTTTTTTGAACAGAAAATTGAATAAATCACATTCTTAACTATTCATTATTATGTTAACAATCATTGATATGATGTAACTTTGTCAATATGCAAAATTTGAAAAGTAGTACATAAAACGTGACCATCATACCAAAATAAACTGTTAGTCTAACGATATAATGAATTATTTATTTGAAAAAAATATGAAACTAGATTTCATTGAATTCTTTTCTTTTTTTTTTCATCAGACCCCAAATGTTTTTGCATTTAGTCCTATTGATAAATTTAATCTTTCATGATTTTATTCACTTCATTTATTCCATTTATTATTAATTTTTTTCTTCTTCTTCCTGACTCCTTATTTGGCATTGATTAGTTATTTTTTCCCAGTACAAGTTGAAAAAGCTGATTTGATGGACTTCCTGTCCGAATCATACAGTCATCCAGCCATTCCAATGGCAGTAGTCATATAAAAAAATTATCACTCAGGTAAAATCAATTAATCATGATTGTCGTCGTAAAAAACATATTGCGACAAAATATCCTGTTTCAATTGATACTGTTTTATCTTTTATTATTATTAATAATTATAAGAGATTTAAAATGTTTATTTAATAAGAGCGAGAGTAATTTTCTGTCTTTTCAAAGAATGATATTTTGTAACATTTTAAACTATTACTTCTTCTTGAAATTTACTATGGAAGCTTTTGTAAAACAATAAAATTAGCAAATAAAAACGAATTATTGCGTAATCAGTTAGTGTATACACGTGAACATTAATCTGTTGTCATTTGTTAATTTCTCCTTGAGTACTTTGTCAAATGTTTATTCATTTTCTCTTTAATTTTATTCATTAAATTCTAACTTGTGTCCAATCAAATTTTATTTGCTTTCTTTACTTCTCCACTTGATAACTGGACTCTTTCACTGATCAATTTAAATCATACAAAGCGATATATCCCTTCTTTTTATTTCGGAGAAAAAAATTGTTTTCTAGGTACAATGCCTCATGTCTCCACCGTTGTGTGTTTGTGTAAAATTGCAAAACAAAACGAAAAACGAATTCTTAAGCTGAAATTCAATCAAAAATCTCTCTTCTCGCTTTGCTTTTCATCCTACTTATTTACTTGTATGCTGCTTGATGATAAACAAAACTAACAAAAAACGGCAATAAATAGAGGAGATGTTATCTTTTGTTATAATTTACCACTCTTAGCTCTTAGCCTTAGTAGATTCTTTTGTATATGTTGTTATTTTTTTTGTTGTCATCAAGGTCTTCTTTTTTTTTTCTAAAATTTTCTTGCTCTTTTCTACTCTTTGATTTCTTTGTTGTGTTTTTTTGATTCACATCACTGTTCTTCTCTCTTCTGGGTTATCTAGTTTTTTTTCTTTCCAAATTTATTTTCAGTTTAATCTATACACACTACCATGTTATGTTTTAGTGAATGAACAATTTTTGTTTCTTTTTGTTGTAAGCAAATGACAATGAAGATTGCTGCTTCTCATCACACATAAACACCCTAGAAAGAATAAAGCATTCAACATGGGCAAAATGAAATTGTACACAGAATACAATCACTTTTTTTCCTTGTTAAATTTTGATTTTGCATCTAAAATGTATACATTTTTGCTTTCTATGTATACTCTCATATATGTGTTAACAATACGGTTGAATAAAAAGGAAAACGCATTAATTAAACAAACATTGTACAAGAATGATTATAGGAATACTTAAATGTTGAATTTTTCTTTTCAGATAGATAAATATGAATTTTGTTTATTTTAAAAAAAAATTTATTATGGATATGGGAATATAGTTTACATGGCTATTCAAAAATTGGGTATAAATATTTAAGTTTTTTTTCTCTCTAAAGTATACATTTTGTCCGTAGTTTTTTTTTGTTGTTGATATTTAACATGCTAAATATATGCATCACTGAGTTTACATAGATAGATGATATACCTTATCCTAAATAGGATCGTTTTTGTTCATAACAAATTAGGAATGTGATACAAATCAATGTGGAACTTTTCAACTAGAACAAACACAATAAAAAATGTGTATTCTTCATTTTAGTTTACAAAATACATTAAGAAAGTATAATGAAACTAATTAAAGATAAATAAATATCAAATTATTCATTATTTATGGTAAAATATTTTAGAAGATGTACATTAGTATAAATTCATTTTTGCCTTATATAATACCATAAAGCAAAATAAAATATAATCGAAGTGAAAGATTCTTTACTAGCGGAATTATTGTTTTAAACATTCAAATTGTACTTAGACTACACAATTTTCTGTGAATGATTTACTCGTGTAACCAATGTAAAGTATAACTTTTATTCTACTCTAATCTTAAATCTGCAGTTTAATTCTCGTCCTACTTCAGTTGTTCAATTAATTTTTTTATTAAATTTTTAATATTCTGAAAAACAATTTAATACCGTTTGGTTTATGCACATTATATACTGATGATTATCATGTGCTCATCAGTGACTAGTTTCATGAAGAAATTCTCAGAAGCCGTGACTAGTGGAGTTCAACCTTGTTGAGGATTAGGCAGTGGATGAGGTTGCGCAATATCGTGGGTTGACTGAAATTAGATATTAACAACGTTCAGTGTTGATTCAGTGGTCAAGTGGTTAAGTACCTGGGTTGGACTCGTACTTGCGCGGCCGTGGATACGCACTGCTGATGAGTCCCATACAAGGACGAAACAGCTAAGCAGTGCCTCCAGGTTTCCGATGATGGTGTGACATTGATCGATCCATTATTTCCAAAGAACCACTTATCTCAAATTTCTCAACACTTGTTAAAGCATCCACTTGAGCCATAAATTAAACATTTTTAAGACCATATATTATTCACAATATCTAATTTTGTACCAAAAATATTTTTTATACTGACAAGATAATCGATTATTTTGTTTATTATTTTCGAATGCTAGTCGGTTAAAATACTTTATACTAGAACACTGATATGAAAACTAACTTCTCTCAGCGGTTTAGTGTTGATCTCAATAAAGTTAAGGCAACATTTAATTTTAAACATTATGTTGGGTATGTTAGATCCCCAAAACTCGCTTGATAAATGCCTTATCTTGGATTTCACGTTTGCGAGCATGGGCTAATCACTTGACCTTGAGATTTCATTTCCACCAGGAAAATCCTTGTCTGTGATTGGCTGCTGTGTATTTTAGTTTGCTATTTTTGTGACTGTCTCAAGGACGTTTCTATGATGTATAAATAAACGAGAGTTGTGTGCTTGATTGTATTGTGCTTGCTGGGTGTTTGTAGAGTATACTTTCCAAGCTTATACTGACTTCTCTTTTGCAGTTCTGAGATCACAGTAGCCTACGTGGATGCTGGTAATTGTCTCGTTCGCGTTTATCGACTAAGGTGAACTCGTAACAGCTTCAATCGTACCTAGTGACGAAACGTAACACAATCTGGGATGTTAGTGGAATTCTACAATTTTATCTTTCAGGAATTAAGTGATTTTCTGCTTACCAAATTTTGTAAATATTTTCCCTGGATCTAAAAACAGGAAATGTTTTGAGCTCAAACTGGGAGGTTGAACTATTAAAATGATACATGGTTTGAAACAGACGTCTCTGTGTTTTTTTTTTAAAATATGATGGAATCATTAAAAACAACTTAATTAGTTCATTTTCAATTTGCAATCGAACATGATATATATATATATATATATATATATATATATATATATTCACATTTGACTTATATACAAAAGCTATTGATCACGCCATTAGCTTATTTGTTATTATATTTTTTGTTAGTTTGTTTGGGTCAAGGCTTTTTTTATTATATTTAATATAAAACCTGAAAATTGAATATTAGTCCAATCAGCATAATAATGCATAACTTTCACTCTTATCCACCATACTGATGTGGAGTTGTGACATAAGTAGGAAAATGGAACGTGATGTGAAATAATAATGGGTTTGTATCTTGTAATTATATATATATATATATATATATATATACATAGATATGTATAATCTTTAACCTTAACCTACTAATTAAAGGCGTATTTTCGACGAAACATTGATAATAATATTGATAATAATAACAATTATCTTGGTATTTTTGTGATGCGAATTCATAATCAGATAGTAGCAGTTAAGTTGGGTTGCTCTGTTAGTAAATTGATTCTATAAACCTGATCTGTGTATGTTTCTTTTTTACCTTGTATTTTTCTTCAACCTGTAGTTATACCCTATCTTGATGCACATACGTTGCCTATTTAAGTGTAGTTTTATTTTCGGCACTGGTTGTTAATGAGACCACTTCATTTTAACAAGTTTTTATTACATACATGCCACACTGAAATAATGTTACTTAACTTGATGAATATATTTCAGACAATTTATTATTTATGAACCACATTTAAGAGATCAGTGACCTTGTTTAAGTGTGTGATTAGAATGATTACAATAAAATTTATTCGATGTTACTTACCCACTTACACCTGTTACCCCTAATTGAGTATAGGCCATCGACCAGGATTCTTCATCAAACTCCTCCTTGAAATGTCTTCTTCAGTTGTTGCTAATTCTCCGCGCCATATGCTTTTTGATTCACCTTTTTTCCTTTAACCCTGAGGATCGCAAATTAGGGTTCGCATTGTGACTCAGGTGATTTCCTCAATGTGTCCTATACAACATCCGGCGGTTTTTCTTAATTTCTTCGTCTGCTGGAATCTGGTTTATGCTTATATATTAAACAAAATTGTTAGATTATCGATCTGTTAATTGAATATGAATATTTAAATATTTGTTGATTAAGTGATGATGTATACTATTTTTTTTTAGTTCAATGCGTTGATTGAAATTTCGTTTGAATTGTGCATAAATTATTTTTCTTATGCATTGATTTTCAACTTAAATAATTACGAATAATTTGATTGAAAGTTAAAGAATAGAAGAAAAATTATGTACATATAGTTTCTATTTTTTAGATTGATTGTCTAAACGTTGAACTAAATAATTTAAATTGGCGTTGGCTAAGAATAAGTTTTCATTTTTATTTCAGTGAAACATACGATTAATAACTAGCAGCTTGAAAAATTACACATTTTAATAAAAAGTGAAACTTCACGTAGGTTACGCTATGATTATGTTAATTATAGCTAACCAAATGTTTGGTTCCTAATATGGCAAAGCGGTTCGTATGCATAATTATCAATTCTTTTGAAATGCTAATTTTTTTTGTTCATTTCATTTCTTTTGATCTATTATATAAATGGTGGACTAAAGAAACATTGAATACAATTAACAATTAGTGGAAATAAAAATGTCTAAAAAAGTACATTAGTATAGTTTTCTATTTATCTACCTATCTGTATATGTATATATACAGATATATATATATATATATATATATATATATATATATATACTCATTTTTTATGTTAACATTAATATTATTTTTCTTCATAATTGGTTATACACATTTATTCATTTTCTTTGCTTTGTATGATTTAATTTATCAAGTCATTATAATTACATGAACTGGTTTATTTCTATTTATATATACATAAATATACTTTGAAATACAATAAAATTCTTACATTTACATAGAAAATGAATTGTTCAAGTGTATAATGGTGCATATTTTTTCCCCCAGTACATCTAGTTTTCCTTGTAATATGCCATAGGATGATGGGCAATGTGTCCATATTGTAAAGCCACATTTTTTTTTACTTTCTTATTCAAAAAACTAGATTGTTATCATTGTCATGTTATTGTATTCATTGTAATTAGATAAATAATTGTTATTGTTAGCTATTTTTATGACAATACATAACTTACTATCATTTCGATCAATTAATCAAGTGAAAAAATAAAAACTCTCTAATATTTTGGGTACAAAATAAGTTCAATGTTTCATTTTGTCTGCTGTCATTGAGAATGTATGCCTATCATTGTTACAAATAACGAGTTGATTATTAATTTATTTGTAACTTAAATTGTTCTGTTATTTATTTGTCATTGAAATCCTTGTTCACCTCAAAGTTGACATATTATACACTACATATCTCTATTATGTTTGACAAAACACTCATTTTCAATAAAACTGAATGTTACTAACCAGTTTCAGAAGTTTGACTAACATTGAAATTACAGGTTAGGAAAAAAAAGTCTTATTATCGACTACACTGTTAACCATTATCCGACTTCAATCAAATTGACCAAATTGTTATGATCATTTCTAGTGTAAACTTTTCACCTTTAACAACGATGTCTATTAGTTTTCTAATAACAAACTGCAAGCTCTGTAGATAGTATCAAGAATATTTTTCGTTTAAAAATTTATTGAGAACACTCCATATATTAAAAGTTACGACATTGTTTATTTGACCTAATTTCCCCAGATCAAAAATAGCTCGAAACCTTTGCAAAAAAAGATATTAGACTCTGACCTAATTTAAAATGACAGAGTATTTAAACGGAATCAAATAAAGTAAGAAACCATCCAATTATTTAATAAAACTGTTGTCCAAAGTAATTAAACAATGAGAGATCATGGTTTAATTACGTACATAAGTTATAAAAAGTGCTTTAAAATATTCAATACTTTCTACTAGCCTGAAACATTTCACCAAACTGAGAGACAATAAATTAAGCATAATCCATTTCTGAGGGTTTGAATCTTCCAGTTGTCGATGTTGATGGATTGTCGGCTGTGACACACTGTTTGTTAAAGGGACTGACAAACTACAGTCCTGAAAATGAACGACGGGAAAGTCTAAATCCTTATGGATTAATAGGAATTTATTCCTGTTGCATGAGCCAGTGGTTATCTGGAATAACGGCCTGAACGTTTAAAGCGAAAGATACTAGGATGTGTATAGATATCAGTACGGATTCTGGTCCAAAATAAGGGCAGTAAGCAGATCTTAAATTTCATTGTTTGTCAGTATGGACAGTCTTCATAAAAGTTTATCATATTGTATAGAAAACGCACTAATGTTGTGCATTTACATTGTTTTACTTATTTTAGCTCCTGAAGTTCTCAGTGTTAATGAAGGCAGTTCGGGTTATGGCAAAGAAGTGGACTGTTGGGCGATTGGTGTAATTGCCTACATTTTGTAAGTTTTTTTAAAAAAATTTAATTTGTTCGAAGTGTCGATGAATCAAATATGCCCAGATTTTTAAACAGTTAATCTCATTATTTCAGATTAGTGAATATCTTTATCTATTGACTGTTTTACAATTTTTCCATGTGATAAATTTCAATAAAATTAGAACAGTGAACGTTGTAGAATAAGAGGAATTGATTTATTTTGTGGATTCTCACCAAGTGCTTACAACTTAGAAATGATTGTTTCTAAGAAATGTACACACTTTTCATCCCATTCGTAGGATTGTTATAAAGTAGCCAAGTGAATATTTATGTTATCAAGTGTAAAACGTCTAGAAAATACAATTTAAATCACATGAAGTTACATTTCTCTAGAATGAAAACTAACTTCAAAGTTACACAATAACAAACATAAAATTTGAGGGAATAACGGAGTAAAATGAACGAAGTTCTAAAAGATCTCAGAATAATAAAAGAATTTGTTGCTGTGATTATGAAATAAGATATTATGTGTAATTGAATAGTGAAAAAAAAGGAGACTACGAGACTAATGTTATATTCTTACAACTGGTTCCTTCGGAACACATAAGTTTGATTTATGCATTGTAATTGTGATGGCTTTAACGTGACTTAGTGAATTCGAAATTGTTTGAGTATTGATTATTTTCAACGATTTTAGAATGTCATCATTGTGTCCATTACCTAGATGATGAAAACTAGCATTGTTGGAAATACATTGACCTAACAATTTCAATTTTTGTCCAATATGTTCTCAAATATGGATAAGAAGACTGCTTTCTGTTTTTTCAATGTTAGTGCTATGTCATGAACATTGGTAAATAAAGTTGAAAGTAACATGAAGTGGGAATTTGTCCACTTTATATATCTCCCTCAATGAGTAGTTCTTTTTGATACGATGAAACTAGTTTATCGGCTGGATATTATATCTAGAATTATTCATGTTAGCTATTTTATTATCTTTTAAACTAAGTTTATCCCGTGGTAGATATTAATGTTTTCACTAATTACACACACACACACACAAGATCTTCTTTTCGTGCATTCACTTGTTTTTTTTTTTCTGTGTGTACATTCCATTCAAATTAATGCCGGTTGAAATCAACTTATCAACGTTTAGATTATGCGGATATCCTCCTTTCTATGATGAAAATGATCATGAATTGTTTCGTCAAATACGAATGGCTGAATATGAATTTGATTCACCATATTGGGATAATATTTCTGACTCAGGTAATTTATCTCTTCATTTTTTTTTCTTTTTCGAATATACTTAATTCATTTAATTAGATGAGTAAGTGTACAAACTAAATTGATAGTAAATTAATTAACTACTGATCATGAACATGAACTAGAATAGCGTAACCATAATGTAGTAGTAACTCATAGTTAGAATGACAGAATAATTGCAAAAGAAGACAAGTGTTACCTAAACATTCAAAGGTTTCATAGTTTTAATATCATGTTTCTCGCTTAATCCTAGTTCACTCAAAATTACATATTGCACAAACAGATAAACGTGTGAATGCATTGCGGATTTGTGAATGAGTCGAATTTTAATTATGCGATAGAATAGAAACGTAAAGTGTTTGATAATATAATATTACTGGCTTATTTATAGGTTTGATATATATATATATATATATATATATATATATATATATATATATATAAAGTGTATAGAAATAGAATTTCGGGTTTCACAAATACCGAAGGTCCTGGGTTCGAATCGTGGATGCGCACTGCTGAGGAGTCCCATACCAGGACGAAACGGCCGTCCAGTGCTTCCAGGTTTCTAATGGTGGTCTAACGTTGATCGGTTCATGGTTTCAAAAATGTGTAACTTAACAATCTTCACAACTCCGTAATGCAAATTTGTATTAGTTGATGAAATATTTAAAAACAAAGTTGACTACTCAGGTGTAAAGCAAGAGATAGTAAATTCATAGAAAAACAAATATTCTCTGACAAACTTAAGCGAACGAGGTCAACAAGGCGAAATAAGATTATTTATATATATTATAAACCTATTTATTGCAACAGCTACATCAGAATGTAGTAAATTTGAAATTTGTTGTTTACTGAAAATTGTAGACGATTTTAAAAACATCAGAATTCTATTCACTATTGTGTTGTAACTGATTAACGATTACTTTAACGAAAACACTGTACATTTTTTTCTTTTGTGATATGTGCTCAGGGATGTAAACGGTGAACTTGATTTTTGTTCTTTTTAGTTTATTTATGTAAAGACTGATACGTAGAGTATGGATTAACATAAATCGGACATTAGTCCACACTGAATTAACGAAATGGACATTTCATTTTATGCAGAAATAGCTGCTCAGACATTAGATACTTCTCTCTCTATTTTAGTTTGACCATATATTGAAAATAAATACCCAATCTTTTTCATCACTCTTTAAACAAAGCTTGAGGAAAGTAAATTTTTTTTCCCAACCTTAGCACACTCAATTTCTTTGGTCCTAGTACTTTTTTTTTCTCACAATTTTTCGTCACACAAAACAGCATTCAATTATAATTTATTCTTCCCCCAGTTCTTTCTTTAGAACATAGTCTACTAGCAAGTTTATAATTTAAATAGTTTGTCAAGTAAAAGGACGTTCAGTAGATAAATATCTTTTGAACTTATCACTTATTGTATGTAATATGCTTATATATATATATATATATATATATATGTTTTTTTCTGCTTCTTTTTTTTAGCCAAAGATTTTATCACTAATCTTTTACAAAAAGATCCAAAAAAGCGTTATAGTTGTGCACAAGCTTTAGAACATCCATGGATAGCTAGTAATACAGCACTTGATCGAGATCTTTATCCTTTTGTCAGTGAACAGATACGTAAAAATTTCTTAGCTGTAAAACGATGGAAAGTAGGTATTCCTATTTTTCTTTTATAAAACTTGATATTTTCATAAATAGCCTAATAATAACTATTTTCGATTAGTTTATATTTATACTTTACTAATTATTAGTAACTTACGTAGCATTGTACGTAGTGGGTTGTTTCAGAATAACACCCTCAAAATTGTTTGCAATAGAGCAGGTGCATTCATGCTTTGTGTTTTCTCAAATCCTAACCTTCAGAGTTCCTTATCATCTTTATCTTTTTTTCTCTTTAAGTTTATTTCACTACATTCTACTTCTTAAATAATCTCTCCGATTACTACTAATACTTCTACTACCTCTACTACTACGGGATTTGAAGTGACAATTGCGTCTCTGTGCTAATGTGGTAGTATGTCAACCTGAACTGATGTACGTACGTACGAAGTTCTACGTTCTAACTGACTGACTGATTGATACTAATTATGATTACGAACTATCATGAACCAAAGCCTTAGAGCTTACTAACGTCGTAAACTTATTACATTAAATCTATAACCCAGTTAAATTTTTATAGTTTATATTAAAAACTCAATATGTTTGTAGAAGTAATAATATCTACTTTTGAAAAAAAATTTTTTTTTGTTTCAAAACACAAAACTCCCATTAACAGTAACATTTTCATATGAAATCATGCTCACAACTTTTAAAATTCAAATGTACCATGATCATTTAATTACTTTGTCAATCGTACAACGATTTAATCAATGGTTTTGTGTGTTAGCTTCCCTTTTTTCAGTTACATTCATTAATATCAGTTGATGACATCTGCTATCAACGTAATGTAATTTCACAGCATAATTCAACGTATCAGAATAAATCTTGGATAAATGTTTAGTTGTTATAAACTAGGCAGGTAATCGAAAATTTTCATATTCCATTCTTGAAACCTTAGCGGAATTCAGTACAGTTTGCCAAACATATGGTTGTAGTACTAATGGCAAAAGTCTATTTATATCTGATAGCTATTGACTATAGGAACAATTTGGTCCTGTATGTTTTCTTTTAGCTGTTTACTTATTTATCTATCGATTATCAGGTCAAGTTAGTAAACAACTTTTATGTTAGTCTTTGAAACATTGAAGATAACCAATTTTTAATGATAATAATAATAATAATAATAATAATAATAATAATATCTCATCAATGCAACCTTATGTCATTTTCATTTCTCATGGCATATGCTTCGAAAATGAATTCATAACGATTATTTATACTCGTTAGATTAGTTATAAGAGATTGTATTCTATTAGTTTACAAAAAAGAAATTCTATTTTATTCATTGAATGTATATATATATATATATATATATATATATATATATATATATATCTGCTTTCTTTCTTATTTTAGAAAGCATATAATGCTACAGCAGTACTTCATTTATTACGTCGTCTTCAATTAAATAAAAGTAATTCTACCGTGGAAAAATCCACAAATTCCACCGATTCCATGTCAGCATTCACATTCGATGAAGAAAAACTAGCAGAAATCCAATGTAAACAACAATCCAAATCGTATTCTATTGATAAACCATGTAAATTACAAACATCTAGTTCATCACCATCATCATTGTCTTCACCAACTCATCCTATTGACAATGATACACTTGCCTCATTAAACAATGGCGGCACTGATGAGATGAGCAACGCTGAGAATAACAATAACAATAACAATAGTACAGCTTAAACTATGGCATTATATTTAGATAACATGCATAAATTCTATCAGAGTTATTATATATAATCATGAATTATTCAAATTTATTGAAATCTTATAAGCAATCTTTGTGAATCCTTATACTCACTCATCCATTGATTGCATATAGATTCTAATGTGTAAATATGTTGAATGGTGGTGAAATTATTTGTCAGCTATATAAGTCAACTTTTCACGGACTTTTTTTTTTTCTTGGCTAATATTGATTTTCCTCTTTAATTTATTTTTTATGAAACAATGTATCTTTTTATTTCTCATCATATGCACTCACACACACACACATATATATATAAATAAATTGAATATTTTCCTCAGCCTACAGCATAGTAAAAATAAACCAAATTAATTTGTTGTTCTGTTCTGTTTTTTTTTTATAACCCATTCATTCATTTCTATTATTACATTCCTGCTGAGGAAATAAACATATATATACACTGGAAGAAAAAAACTCGTAAAAAAAAAACCTTGTTAACAATGTATGCATTAATATTTGCATTTGTTTTCCTTCTTTAAATTATCAATATAACACATTACACAAATGGCGCCATTTTGATTTGCATCGACCCATACTCTTTTTTACAATGATTTGAAATAAAAAAACACAAAGAGTGAAAGAAAGATGAGAAACTAGACCAGACAGATAACAATGTGAAAACAATCATATTGATAAACTGATAGTGAGTGATACAGAGTTCTTTCCCCATTGACTATTACAACGTTCCAAACGTCCCAACTACTACTACTACTACTACATTTGGGCTAGATGTATGTACACACATGTGATAGATATTTATATATCTATTTATATATACATATACATATATTTTTTATTTAATAGTTGACTCTATTGAAATACAAAAAAAAACGATGTGTTGTTTCGTTTTGCCTTTATTTTTTTGAAAGAAATTTGTGTCTAACATTGAAATGTTTCCCTCTTTATTCATCATCTATTTATTTATTTATAATAATAATAATAATTATTATTATTATTTCCATCCCAATTCATTTAAATTCACACCACTAATTTATTTACGCTTTTTTTTTCTCCCATTGTTTTGTTTCATTTTATTTTTTAGTCTATTCAAAATATTCATTGACTCCACAAGCAAACCAATAAAATGCATAACAAACAGCCTTGTTGTTATATAACTATTAATAATAATAATAATAATAATAATAATAATAATAATAATGATCATGAATAGAGTTTCATATTTTCCTGTGCCATTTTTTTATTTGTCTCTCTTTTAATCCATTCTGCATTGTTTAGGTTTAATTTTCTTTTCATTTTTGATGATTGTTTATTTTTATGCCTTTCTATTTGTTTTCTTCTCCATCTTCTTCTTCTTAATAAAATTCAATGTTCTCCGTTGACAAATGCAACGAAGCGAGATGATAATCACAATGGACAACTAAAAATGTCACAATTTTTTCTTTTTTTTTGGTTTTGAGTATTTTTCAGTCAAAAAAAACAAACAAACAAAACACTAAAATCATTGTTTAAGAAAAAAAGTTGTTTTTAATAAATATATCTACATATGCTTACTATATATATATATATACGAAACTAAATGGAATCATCTATAATTTTGGTTTGTTTATCATTTACTAAAGTGATTTGGTGATAAGAAGGTAAGTATGTCATTTCAAAGAATGTTTGGATGTAGTACACGAGTTTAATGTTATTAGCCTAACGAAAAAAAAACTTGAGAAACTAATGTCTACGGAGAGAAAAAGCTTTTTTATCTAGTTCTCGTTTGAATATGGTCAACAGTATGCATGTTTTAATCTTAGGTTTTCGATATTGCAGCTAGTAACTTTGCCAGTTATTCGAATGAATCTGTATTTATTGTGATAATGTTTTTAAGTAAAACAAGTGCTATTGAGTTACATTTAATTTTGATGCTTCATCAATACATTGAAAATACGCATGAGTTAAATAATCACATAAAATTTAAATTACAGAAGTCGACCTTGTAAATGGATTAGTTGCTTGAATAATTGCATAAATTAATTGTAATTAATTAAAACATTATATGTCAAAACAAATGATAGAATTAAATATTTCTAAGAATTATATCAACATGTAAATGAATGATACTAGCCCTTCACTTTTGCATAATACGAAATGTGAACAGGGAATCTTCTCATCTCATACACTCGATCATCTCGTTTTGTTCTCGTTCTTCATTTTGTACAATTAAAAAAGTATAGAAAACCGTTTTGAATCGAAGTACTCTTACTCTGAAGAACAACGCTGGACAAATAGAAAACATATTAAACCAGATTCTTTGGATACCCACTGTTCTAATGTGAATACCTTAGGTTTTAAATCTTCTTTAAAAAAAAAGTAACCTTACTTTTCAGTTTAAAAGTTTCTAAAATATCTTTCCCAAAGCAGTTATTATTAAATGATTACAGATAACCAAGTGATACACACTCATTTTATAAGAACAATATATTATCATGTATATATGCTATTCAATTTGAAAGACATTGATATGCTGAGTTAATCAAAAGGCTGTTGGATGACTATCAGAAAACATCCGATTGTACGAATACATATCGTGACTTTCTTTTCTAAGGGAGTGAATTCATTTATTTTTATACACGTTTTTGTGTACATTATTCGGTAATCGAATAGACCTCTTTCTGCTCCTGACTTTTTCGCTCAAACAACCACTTCGACGGTTAGATCTTATTGCCTTCAGATCTTGTCACCGCGCATTCCAAAATATAGTCGATCGATATTAACTTTTTTCTACCAATTTATTGTCGAATACTAACTTTCTGTAACTTGATCTGCTCATGTGGTATGGCAACTTGAATTGATATAAGTACGTACCAAGTTCCACGTTGTTGCTTTACTGACATACATAAAAATAACGTGATGTGAATTCAATCCAACTGGTAATCTTATTCAGAAACGGTTTACTTTATTAACTCTATCATAGTGAATTAACTACTAATCGGAAATTCAAACTACTCTGTAAAAATGTAATTTTATACAAAATCAAAGAAGTTCCATATTTTAATTTCAATCTTTTTCATGAAAATTCATTAAATTGTATAAAACAGTACAAACAAGTCAGCGTATTAACATCACTCTATGACTTAATGGAAATGTTTATTTTATTTAAATTCTTGAAACAACAACTAATGTATTCTGAATGCAAATTGATTTCTTATTTATTGTTGTTTATCCGATTGCAACATTCAATAGTCAATAAAGATTTTCTTTATTGACTATCCATATGTATATTTTGTGAATAACTAATACCATTTTTAAACTAGAATAGTTTGGCAATTCGCATTTAATTATTTTATTTATTTTTCGTGTGAATCATTTATGATTAAGGTGAATTTAATGCATATTCTTGTTTTGTTAAATCACAGAAAAAATAATTGTGATATGGAATACTTGAATACATTTTCATGAATTAAGTCATAAGAATTTTTTAAAAAAAAAATCACTCCACTAATTGGAAGCACAAACAATATATGTTTATCATAAAATTGAGTATCATTGCCTGACAAAAGCAACACTGATAAAAGATTTTCATTTTATTAGTGTTAACATTTTTGAAACTCCAAATTCACGAATGCTACTAGTCAAATGTAAATGCATTGTAACCTGAGAATTATTTTTCAGCTGACTATCAAATTACACAATACGGAGGAGGATGAAGATATGATTACATCAAAAAGAAATTAAATTGATCAGTTGACTAGTGGTTAATCATCTATTTATTCGGTCGAATCATGCAATTCTGTTAGAAATAGTGAATTTCCTAAAAAAAAATAGCGCTCAGAGTTTCACAACATTTAACTTTATTTATTTGTGTTTAAGCAAGATCATGTTGCACGAAGCAGTGACCATTCATTTTCACATAGATGCAATCAGTACATTATAGGTTGTTAGAAACAGCTAATTAATTACATAGTAATATTTTCACATAAATGAATTTGTCTCATAGAAAAACAGTAGTCCTTTGTTATTCAGTCATTGAATTGAAAAAAGACTTCCTTCAAAAATTATTAAAGGCAAGGATAAATAAAGTAAGCAAAAACAATTCATAATATGACAATTATTCACTAGAAGATAACAAAAATCTCATCTTTGTAATACAATATTTCCAATCCAATCTATAAATGATTGTAACAGTGATATTATATTGAATTAACTGTGAATCAAAAACAATTGGGTATCCTCATTAACCAAGCGAAGTCATGACACAACTACGAAATGAAATATTATTATAAAAATCTATGATTTAATATATATCATGTATAAGTGTTCGATTCGTTTATTCAAAGCTTTAATGCCAGTACATAGCCATACTTTGATGCGTCCTTTATATCAGCGTTTAACAGTGGTTAACTCAGCTTATTAGCTACTAGATTAAATGAGCAAACTAGTCACATTTGAGGTTGATATTTCAAAGCTGTGAATCATAAACCAATAAGAGATACTGACCATCATCAATCCTTGCTGATTTAAATCATAATTAGGTCCCTTCAATAAGTTAGGTTGTTTATGGACAATAAACGTTAGCTAATTAGGGTGCGGAAGAAGGGAAAGGACAAAAAGTAAAATCAGGACTATTACTTGATGAGTCTTACGTATATGGGATATACTTCTAGATTTTGATAAAGTTCGCAAACGAACATTACTAATCATTTTATCAGGAAGTATGTTCCTATGAGAATATCTCTATATCTGAACCATAGTAAATCGTACAATCCCCTTTGTGGAGTTCACCAATAGACGCCGTTTCATAGAGTCTAGAACAGAAGTGCCTAAGCAAAGCGAAGTAATGGGAGTCATAGAGGATAAGCTTTTTTTTGGCAGACTATACTTGATTTTTTAGAATGAATACATAAAAAGTCTTGAAAAATTTATTATCTGTCTAAAAAAGCTGTGTACTGCTTTAATTTTATTCTCCTATAAATCCTCTCTAATTAATGATCACCAGTGAGTATTTTAATGAAATGCATTACGGATAATTTGTATTAGCTCATTTCTGAACGATTGAAAATGCAATCTGACACCAACGCTTTCGTCTATATTTCTGATAATGACGAGAGTGAGCGAGTCATAATAGAATTAATATTTTTCTATTGCTTCATGTTTAATTTAGGTAAAGATATCGTTTTCGCACAATCTTCCTTTATTTACTATATGGACTAAATATTTATTTATTTTTCTTAAATTAATAAGTATCAATTACCAATTTGTTTTCTATTGTATTTGCTACATTTATGTCAAGAGGTCACATTCGATATATATTTTTTAACTTTTTGTTTAGTTGACTTTAATTATTTGAAGATAACTAGAATTTCTATTCAGTTTTCTCTCTATTAGGCTTCATTTCTTGATTCATAGTCTAAAACTAGTGGAAATAATCTGTCTCAGTACATTGGGGTATTCATTCTACTTTATTACCTGCGATTTAAGACCATTAGAGTCATGTGATACAATTAGATCTTCTTGATTTCAAAACCATTGGAGCCAAATGGGTTGAATAGAATGATGCTAGTGAATTGGTCTACACATCTGTATCGGTGAATTTTGTTAATTTGCTTATGATACCTTATTGTCTAGTCTTTTTACAAACAGTCATTCTCATGTCAATAATATACTCTGTCAGTACTAGATGGTTTGGAACCGCATTTATTGACTTTCATCAAATCAAAATTATCTTCTGGTGTTTGGATTACTTACTGATGATAGTAATAATTCAGATTAAGTGGTTCTGAAGTTTACCAAAAACTTTCACCGTATGTTAGTACTGCAGAATAAATATTATCATTTTTAACTTCATGTTCGTGTTGGATAAGTTTTGACATAACACACAGTTATTATTTAACTATAAAATATCCATTCAATTCATAATATAAATAGTATGTTTCTGAAATCAGTAGTGCCTGTGGTGCTTATCGATTTATGGACGATATACGTTAAAATCAACCATTGAAAACTTAGAAACTTTGGTTAGCTGTTTCATTCCAGCGATAGGACTACTCAGCTGTATGCACCTACGCCTTTAGCGTCTATGTCCAGTATTTGCAGCCATTCAATAGTTGTTTAACTTAGTAAAATTAACAGCTTTTGCAATCCTCAAACTGATATTAATATATACTTTGATATAGATGTCTAAGCGAATTCTATGA